GTGTTCAGCATTCTCAGATAATGTATGGAGACAGACAGATGTTGGCAGGACATTTTTCCATTCAGATGATGTCAGGATCATGCCCTGATCCATTTGCTCTGCCAGTAAAAGCCAGACACATTACAAGTTAAAGTGCTTGGTTATGAAGAGAGACAGCCTTTCCTCTTCAATACTCTGCAGTCTCCCACAACAATGGCAGCTGGTAAATGTAATGATATCAAAATGGCCACATGGCCTTTTTATCCATCACCAGAGGCAGATAATCATGTAAGGAAACCAAAACTATGTCCCTTAATGTATCTGGGCATGAAGCCAACAGAAGGCAAATCCCAAATTTAGAGAAATCAGATGAACCTGACACTAGTCTAGCTTGACCTTCTCAATAACCAAGAGGATTTGAGACATCACTGCAGCTGGAAAGGCAGCAGTTCCAGCTTTCTTAGCACTGCCTACTCTCTCACCAGTAAATGTTTGCTAGTGTCATCTTGCTGTCTACCACTGGTCTTCATCTGCCATTATGGGCCTGCTCCATTTTGCCATGCAGATCCACCACAACTAACTCAACACTGTTCATAGCCAAGAAACCACCAAGAAACCACCAGCATATGCAGTACCTCTACATCCACCTATTTTTCTGCTCTTCATTTACAGGCAGACATCCCAACCAAAGTGAAGCAAGAAGAAAGTAGTACCAGAAGTGAAGTGACCTTCAGAGAATCATGTGAGTCTGTGGAGAAACAGGCTGCCTGTGCCAGGCTGTGTTGGCATATAGGTATGGCAGTGATGGAAAGACTCAGAATTTCTGTGAGAAGCAATGAAGGCTGCAGAATGAGAATGTCAGTGTGACTACTATGGTATGAAAGTGTGCTAAAGTACCAAGCTCACGGCTTGCTCAGACCATTGCAATAATGTATCAAATGGGTCTCTATTCTACTTTAACAGGTGTGCTTCACTCAAATGAGTTTATTGAGTGGAGAACAGAGGTGAAACTCTTTCCCTCGTGAAACAAAGGGAATGGGGAGGCAATGGGGTAAAGAACAGCCTTTAAAGCTTCAGCTATTTCTAAGGCTGTTTGATAACATTTCATGCTACAAGCCTTTTGCTCCCCTTGCTGTTTCATGGTGTTGCTGTTCACAGGGCAAAGGCAACATGTTAGAGTGGAGAGATGCACACAGAGCCTGGTAGGATAAATCAGGACCTAAAGGTGCAAAGCAGTGGAAATATGAGAAAATATGAGAAAATATGAGAAAATATAAGAAAACACTTTCAAATATCAACAGAAATTGAAATGGTGTAATTTGATGGTAAATAGTCTGCAGAAGGGGAAGATACAGAGCAGAGAGGAGCAAAAGGGAAAAGAGAGAAGAGAAAAGGTACCAAAAATGGTACTGATGAATCTGCAGCAACTACAAAATAATGGCATGAAAGTCAAAGGGATTTTTCTTCTCCCTTGCAGGACAGAATCTCAGCACCTCCTCCCACAGCTGTGCTCTAAAAGGATCAAATAGCGTAGTTCTTCCCTATCTGAAACCAGAGAACTTCTAAAAAACAACTGAAGCAATGAAGTATTGTACACACTCAGCAACCCAACATTTTTATAATGATCCTAAATACTTTTGGTGTTAAAAGCGTTTCTTGTCAGTTCCTGCCTGTGTTGAACCTCGTGGCAGCTCACAAATTTTCTTAACTGCTGTTGCTTGTGTGTGAATGGTGCTCTATTTCCTGTGAAGGCTGCAAATGCAGTTTCACACCATTTATTTTCTTTCCTTCTTATAACACTATATATTCATAACTCAGCATCCTCAGCACACCATTATTTACCCTGGTTCACATGTGCAAATGGATGTAATTGTGTTAATACATAGATGTAGTAGCAAATAGTCTTGTAAAATGTCTGATGGTGTGAGGTAGTGATTATGTCTAATGATATTTTTTAGCATAACATTTCTTACATTAATGTTGTAACTTGGCAATCCACAGTGTTTACACTGTTTTTATACAGATGTGTATATTTTTTATACAATGTGTATTTCAGTTATGCTGCGACTGTAGGGATTTTGTGCAGTTCAAGCTGAAAGCCAGCTAGATTCAGAAGTATTTCCTTGACAGTGTGAAACTCTGAGAACACAGCCCTGACATGCCATTAGTACATACAGCAGGTAGTCTTGCCTTGCAAGTGGTGCAGATAACTATAGAAATCATATGAATGAGCCCTGTTGAACAGAGTTTAACCCTCAAATCCAGTTCAAATGGCACACACTTGGCCTATACAAAGCCTTCATCCAGCTAATCAGCTCTGCAAGACCCCTGTGCACAGTTGATATTCCATGCCCATACTCAATCCCTCCGACAAGCCTAACCAGAGTAGTTAGATAAAGAATTACTGATCTCTCAGAGTCCACAAGAGTCTCTTCTTGGAGATGCCTTTACCAAAATCTGGTTTTGTTGTTAATAGCAGACTGAGAGGATGTGAAATAATCTTGGGGTCTCCATTAAGACATGCAACACAGAACCCCTGTCCCTGCTAACATCCACGTGTAGGACAAGATTGATGCACAGCAGGTGACGTGACAAGAAAGGTATGGATGAACAAGTGAAGGAGTGCAAGTTCTGCCACAGAGATCATCTTTCACCAGAACTTTTACTGCACTGGACAACAGCTGGAGAGGGTGAGCCAGAGCATACCCTGACAGTGAAAACTGCACCTGTGAGAAACTGTTTAATTCTGAGCTGTGTGAGAGAAATATCTTCCTTAGAGAAACTATGCTGTATCACTACATGTTTAGAAGACAGAGAAGTCTAATAAATTCAAGGCTCTCTTGTCAGGATTTCTTCTCCCACATCTTTTCATTTTACACTTGAACTAGAGGGAACTCAGTTGAAGGTTATTAAATTTTGACAAGGCAAGAAATTATTATAGATAAATGTTGCTTATGATCAGTGACAGTATACAGGTAGACAGCTTTATCTGCCAACCAATGGGCATTTAACAAAATAAGCATAATAGGAATTGCATGACAGATATACAGGAGGTGATTAGTTTCAAAAAAAAAGCCCCCATCAACATACTCTGATATCTTCCTCCTCCTCATGGAATCTACAATTCATATTTCTGTTTAGCTGATAATTTCATTTATGAGTTACAAAGCATTTATCTTGAATAGTACAGATGTTTAGTGAACAGAATGATTCATCTCTTCCTCTACTTTCTAAGTAGGACAAAGAGATGCCTCCAGTGTGTGCTAGGATGGAAGCATGTCTGTCATTAAGTTGTTGCTTCCCAGATAATAACTACCCATTAAGAGAAAAATTTGGAAAGACTGCTGCCAACAGAACTCACACAGAGGAATGCTCTCTAAAGTGACTGTGTTCCAGAGACTCTTACTGCCTGTTTCTTTTTCTCCCACCAAAAGCCACAGTACGTACAAAGACCTGTTCCTTTTGAAAACCAGTGACACAGCTTCGTTGCCCTGCATGTGTGGGAAGTAAAAGTCTGAATGGGCTTCATGAATGAACCTCATAAACACTTCTACTGAATTCAGAAGATGTAAGAGAGAAAGTTTCAGTTTGGAAAGACTGAACAAACGTGTAAATCACCCTAGGGAATGAAGAATACCTAAGATACTTATTCATGTTAAATAGCACAATTAGAAAAAGTATAAAACCATCAGAATTTAAAACCCTTGATTTTTCAGATTTTAGCCCTAAAACTGTATTAACTTCACATAGTTTGCTAGAAGTATTCTAACTGAATACCAAATATATGCTCTATTTAACATATAGCTTATGAATTTCATTACCATGCAGTATGTTTGCTGACACATAATGAAAGAAAACTTGCTCAAATTAAGCATCTGTTACATTCATTCCCAGTTTTAGCTATATATATGTCATGAATATTTTTGTGGTTTTAGAGGAAAACCTGAATAGATAGAAATACTGGCAAACTTTTGAAGACTGCCAAAGAAAATATCAGAAATACGTGCAAAGGACATCTACAGCTACAGTTCTGTCTATGCTGGTACACTCCAGTTATGGCATTAATAGCACCACAGATGTGCATGTTGAATAACAGTTGCCTGTCTCCTGTCCTTGTTGGTTCATGTCTATTTTGCATGTGACAGCTTTGTCACTCTGTCTCTGCCTCATTTTTCACTTGGAGGAAGGCAATGGCATAAAGAGCCCCAGGGACATTAGAATGCTCCATAAACATGATTAGAGCATTCAGCCTCTTCATTTAAAGCAAGTACCATATTGCTACCAACATCTGCTTTGGGCTATAATGGGGCCCTTAAACAAACCACACCACCCTGAATGAGCAGAGCCCTGGAACATCTGTTGATTGTGCTTACATAGTTGGCAGCTACAAACATGGCATCTCATACTTACTGTCACTCACACTCTTGTGCTGCTACTCATATGGATTCCTTTGGGAGAGAAAAGTTATCCACGTGGAGCTGAGGTTCTCGGAGATGAGCCTGTGCTGTATAAGGTGTATTTCTGTGAGGGGGGCTCTGAGCATGGGGTGTGCACTTCACTGGGGCCAGCTGACTCGTGGCATGGGTATGTGGACTCCGTAAGTGGTAATAGTGCAAAGATCATATAAACAGCACCACTAAACTGTCAGTTTATGTTGTTTCCACACTGAAAGGTGAAAAACACCACAGTTCAATTGCTTTTTACACTTGAAATTCTTTTTTTCTATTAAACATCACTTTCTCAGGAACAGTAGAGTACCTATAGCTAATTGCTCACTTGTGACAAATTAACCACTGAAAATAGGGCCACATTTTCACAAGGAATGGACTGATCAATATTCAATGGACTGATTGATAATTTCCAACATGAAACCAAGAGGTACTGAAAGATGCATTAGGATTTTAGCCGATTTTTCAAGCTGTGTGTGAAATCTTGGTTATGGCACCAGCTTCTAGATGAATCACTAATCTTTATGGCTGCAAATAAAGGGTAATTTCTTATCTCTTTAGTAGGGATATTACCTGTTGAACATCCTGCTGGAAAACACAGAGCTGCAGCCTTTGATGTAGCCGGACTTTTCTGTGTTGCCAGATGCTTTCTAGGCGCCGCTGGTGGTGCAGGACTTCATGTACCACATCCAACACCTGGTGAACAGCTTTGGAGTAGTTTGCAGTAGCAGTAAGGGATTCAGAATTCCCAGGACTCAAGGGACGCTGTAGGACATCCAACAAGGCTTTTCCATCCTGGCTCACCTGAATGAAGAAATAGGCCTGCTTCACTGCACTGGTACTTAAATATCTGAGAGCTGACAGAGAACAGCCATTGTTTGTCTGCTGTGTTTTCCTTATTTCAGTCAAAAAGGAAGAAAGAGCTCATAACATCTCTTTTTGACTTGCACTTACACATTCTGCACTTGCCTTTGCTTCCTGGTGGCCACCCTGCTGTGTCACTCAGCAGGAGCACAGGTAGGGCACTGCTGGGGCTGCACGCAGAGACCCCAGGGCTTTATTCCACTGTGACACTCGGGCACTGAAAATTCCTGACACACACTGCTTGGTGACAGGTGGCATTTGCAAGTGCAGGCCTATCTTTGTGAAGAGGTGGCATTTTAAGAAAACCACAGATGGCAGAGTCATTCATATTCTGTATAATAAGGGAGAGTCCTTTCTTTGTAGGATTACTAAGTATGTCTATACATTGAGAAGTGTGACATTCCCTTCTGTATTTCATTCAGTGGCAGTGAAAAGTAAATTAGTATATGACTGATTCTTTTCTTCCCCAGGAACAGCTCCGAGGAACCTATGGTCTCAATTTTCAATAGACTATGAAGTTTGCTGGTAAATGCAAAGCCCTCTGCACACATGTAACCTTTTTCAAGCATATTAAAAGATATTTACAGATACAAAGGCATTTCGGCATTAAAAAAAATCAGAATGTCTGGTTTTTAATGTCAGACTTTTTTTTCTGGAACATTCCTGGACCATTTTCATATTGCAGGGGCAAAATGACAAATTTAACCATAAAAACCATATTTCTGCTACTGACTCTTGAAAAATGTTTTTTTGAAATAATTTTTCAGTTCCAGATTACAAAATTAAAATATTTTGTTCAACAGAAATGATAAATAAGGAAACTATTGGAATCCCTCTCTTTCCCCAGCTTACTTTTTGCTTTTCCCTCTGAAGCAAACTGCAGTGCAAATCACAAGTTTTCCTGAAATTGTATTTGTATGCAATCACAATCACCAATCTTGACAGAAAATAGGGTAATGAATGTTTTTCATCCAGTTCAAATTCTGAACATTAGCAGCCAAAGTTAAAACACGTCTCCAGGATTTCCACGTCTCATTCATTCCTGTATTATAAGTTGCTTGTTCAAATGTAGCAAATATTCTTTTAATGCCCAAACCTGTGTCTTTTGGCAAGCCATGCCACGTCCTGGTCTGTGCTAGCACTGGGTATATGGTGCATTTTCAGAGAAACTAAGAGACCTTTTGAGATGCATACTGGCAAAAATTGGAATCAAATCTCATCATATTTATGACTATTTGGTGGCCTTAGGAAAATTTTTGGGCTTTTCTTAAGTATTCAAGGCAATTTGGAACTATTTTAAAAATTATAATTTTGGAATCAGGAAATAACTGGAGAGTACATAGGGAGTGGCTTCACATACTCAATTTCAGTTGCTGCTGAAAATCAGCTGGAATAATTTGCACTTGCTGGAGCCTTCTGGAGTCACAGAAGGAACAGCAACATAGTGGTGATATGATAGAGGATTTCAGGAGGACACACTGAGGCACAGGTGTTACCTTGGCAAGATTACGGAGATGGCACTAGCTGCTAGTCAGGAAGAAGCAGCTTCCAGAGGAAGAAGATAAAGCATACTACATCCTATGTTATCCATGGGAAGACAATCAGCAACTACTTAATTGCTGGGAACAGGAAACAAAGGCCATGGACACATGTGGGTATAGATTATTAGACCAGAAACACACACCCTCTGCACTGGCTAAATCCACTGTGTAATTCACTGTGTTTCTCTTACTGGGATTTGGGTTTAGAGGTGGTCTGAATCAGTCCCTGGGTAGTGTTCCAGTGGTTTTAACAGAGTCCCTGCTGATTTACACTATGACAATCACAGGAGAACTGGGATTAAGAATAAAGGTTCAAAGTTTACCAATAAGAGATGTGATTGCACAGAAAATATAACACACATGTTTTACTCAAAACAACTTTCTTAGAAAGTTTGTGCTGTAATACAGAACTATCAACAGCTACACTTCTGCATTGTCTCTTACTCCTTTCTCTTCTATGGGATGTAGGTTTTTATCTGTTGCATAGCAATTTGTTTCTGTCTAAAAAGCCTCAGAGATTACAAGTTAAGATTTTTCCCTAATGGGGATAACCTAGTTATTCTCTGCACAGACAGAAATAAAACACAATAAAATGTCAATAATCATTAACACAAATCAGAGGCTTTTAGAAGTGTTTTTGTGCTCTCCAATTTACATCCCTGTCCCATCATACTGGACTAAATAAATGAAAAGGAGCACGGTGACCACCAGGTAACCAATGGTACTCAGTATTCTTAAGGATAACATAGATATTGAAGGGTTTCATATCATCCACAGATCTGAAATTCTTCAGTTTAAAAGGTTTGTTTTACAAAATTCTGCATATTATTGCATTCCAAATCAATAGCTCAGAAGGTCTGTGCTCTCAGAGTTCCCCAATGAGCAGATATCGGAAAGGAACAGCCTCACAAATGGAGAAGCCACCTACTGTGCTCTTTCAGTCATTTCCATGTTCTCCTCATAACTGCAAAAATAAACCAACAAAACTCTTCTCATGTGACTCTTTTTGAATTTTTCAAGGACTGTGCAAGGAGACAAGTAAAACAACCCAGTTTAGTCACATAATTTAATTTTATATCTTATTTACAACATATTTTTAATTATTGCAAAATTCTTAAGCTGAATAGACCCACACCCCACAACTTGCAGTGCCAGTAAGGTGTAAGTGCCAGTGCTGCATTTCCCAAAGAAAATGTGATCCTTTCTCACTTATTTTGAGAAGTACACAACTGCTGCTGGACTCTGGGAAAGTTTCACTCAGCACCTGACACAAAACCCACATATACTCTATCACCTGGAGACATTCCTGGCTTTGGGGTAGGAAAAGGATGGGCAGAATACAAATACTTCTGAAAGTTATGTAAGCTTGGGTGAACCAAAAGATAGATTTTGTTGTGCTAGTGGAATCATCCCATGGCTGCTCTATACAAAGATAGGAAATTAGTGAAAATCTGCAGATATCCTTTATAGTGGGCCAGGAAGACCTCCAGAGCCTTGGAAGTGACAAGACAAATGGTGCCATCTGTGAAACAGCTACAGTGTGCACTAGGGGAAAAAAAATATGGGGTTTAGAGCAAATATATCATTCCTCCATGATGCCCAGAGCAAGGAATGAGCAAGTGGGAGATACATATATATATTCTGTCCTGGAGTCTTCACTTGGTAATTTACTAAGTATAGCAAACACTACCACAGTCCTCCAGTCCAGCTTGGAAAACCCTGCAAAGAGCAAAATCCCTTCACAGCCAGAGAGACTCTCCTGTAGAGCACAGACTAGGGAAAATGACTTTTTCTCAGTAGCTTTTACTTTATGCTGTAGCCTGAATGGGGAAAAAAGCAATGTGGGTTTTTTTTTGGTCAAAATTCCAGAGAATTTGTCTCAGCATTCTTGGCACCCTCTTTTAAAGGAAAAAAAGCACATACCCTATTTAGGCTGGAGATATTTTACAATAGCACATACAAATACATCTGAGATGCTGCTTGGGGACAGGATTTAGTGGTAGATGATAGTTTTAGCTCAGCAGTTGGACTCATGATTTTAAGGGTCTTCTCCAGCCTAAATGATTCTAGATTCTATCTAAAGCAAAGTATTTTGAGCATTTGTTGCAATTAGGACTTTACATCTCTTTGACTTGTACACTGAAGGAAAAAGCCTTTGGAATAATTTGAGCCATTGGCATACCTGTGCTAGAGCCAGGACTCATCCACAGAAGGAAAGCAAAAGAAGTAAAGGTGCTGGTGGCAAAAAAGGGTTCCCAGTTCAGCAGAGATAGTGAAATGGCTCTTTGGGATGCCAACACTGGTTCTAGATTTCATTTCTGTATGATTTCAGATTTGTCCTTTGGTTCTTCCCTTACAAGGAAATTGCTGGGAAGTCATGTACTACAGCCTGGGTTTAGGTCTGACTTTATCATTGAAAGAGCTGCAGAATGGAAAGCAAATCCTACCTCATTTAGAAAAGCTAAACTCCTAAGTGCATGCAGTCTGTTATCAGTTAGCAGATACTCACATTTGCTCTGGGAAGCACATACCTCTGTGTAGGCCTGTGTTACTTGCTCATAGAGGGTCTGGTGATGGTGGATGGCCAGTTCCAGGTCTTGCATTTCTGAGGGGAGGCCTCCATCACTGCACATTTTGCACCAGGCATCCACACCCGAAAGGAACTGAAACAATTCCAGAAACAATGAGCAAAAGTGACACAAAACAACCTTATCAACATTAGAAAACTTTGCAGAGTGCCACATATGACTGCAGCAATGTCTGAGAAGAACATAGAAGTTACAAAGGAGTCCTTCTGGGCACCTTGGAAAGGCACATTCCTGTCACCTCCTCAGTACTTTAAAGACTAGATCCAAAGGATGCAAAGGAATGTTTTCTGTTTCTCCTGGATTAAAAACAAATGCTTATTTAAGCAGGTTCAGCAAACACCCATTTTAAAAGCCTTTGCACACCATCAGGGAGGCTACAACACTGCATTCCAGAAAGGAAGGCTGCAACACATCTAGGAAGAAACCACCAGTGTTAAGCACAAAAGGGCACAGTGCTCCAGCTGCATTTGGCATTGTCTCATCTGTTTGTCTTCCCACAGTCATTTACCTGTGCTTGAAACTACCCACATGAGCAACAGAAAACTCCCATGTAAATCACTGCTGACATTCATTTCAATGAAAGGAAGACATCTGCATTCAAGGAGTTCCCAACCCAGGTCCAGCTCGGTGGGATTATTATTAGGATGCCAAGGCTTTAAGCCCCTGGGTCACACATGTTCTTCTGGCCCAGATCAGCAGTGATCAGCTACCATTGCCATCTGATGGCTGCTAAGCAGCCAGCACAAAATGAGCTGCTGGTCTCAGTCCAGTTCCTGGTGGGCAGATGTCCATGAAGAAAGAGAAAAAAAAAAAACAAAAAACATTGCCATTGCAATTGATATGGTTTAGCACCTTGGTTGGAAGCCTTAACAGTCAGCCAGAAACTGAACACTTTGGGGTGCAAAGGGGTGGAAAAAAATATTTTTCCACTCTAAAGGCCTCCAGAGTAGTACTGATGCACTCTGGCAGAACAAACTGAGGAAGCTCCCCTGGGTGCTGCTTGTTGTGTAAAAGAAAAGAGGAATTTAGTCTCTAAGACTCCCACCCTGTTTTTCTTTTAAGCAGGACTTGGTTCAATGACACAGCTCACATGTTCATATTTTGTCCATATGAGCTGCCTAATGCCACCTCATTACTTCTCATTACTCCCTTCTCTTCCTCCATCTTTCTCTTAAACCAGCCCACCATACCTTGGGCTATTTATAAAAAGAACAGCTAATTATATAACAGATGCAGTGCCCTGTAGGACAAATGTATAATGGCACAAAACCACCCCAGGATCACAGCTTTGTCACCCCCTGAAGTGTTCACCTGTGGCTTGTTAGTTAAGCACTCACTCACAGCATGAAGGGCTGTGAGATTCAAAGCAAAGAATTCCAATTCAACTCTGTCTCTGGCATCAGCATCCTTTTTTATTGGTAGTGTAAAGCTATTCACCATGCTGCTGTGTAATCAAGGCTATAAAGTGTTTGCATTGTAAGCACTTCTGAGCACAAAGATTTGGTGACAAAGATGAATTCCTTAGCATTTATGTCTGCAAAGTACAAATCTACCACCAGTGACAACTGTGCTTTCTAGAAAGCTAGAGGCAAGGATGGCGGGCTCTCCTGCACCGGTTGGACTTATGATGTGTTGAATCTGTTCAGGTGAAATCCTCAAACACCCCTGCATAAAGCTGAAGTCATCATATTTTGTGCCAAAGTAATGGGATTCACGTAATTTCCTATGCAATTTAAGAGCACAGAGCCAAGATCAATACCTTTCAGGGCTGTTCCGTGAACCTTTTGGTTGAAACAGTGAACAAAAGACCTTTACACCTTATAGATGAGATCCCCTGCAGCTGGAATCCCACTGTTATGGTTCTTATCAAAACTGCTGAATTCTACCAATTCCAGTAAAAGCTCTTATAGTCATGTTACTCATCTATTGTCACATCTCCACTCTGTGATTTGCACAGTATGTGGGAGAAGTCTCAAGGAGATCCAATGCACATGTCCCGCTTGTTGTTTTCATCTATCTTTTGTACACAGACAATGTCACAATTACTTTGCTAATTTTGCTTCTGCCACTAGCAAGAGCAGTTGACATCATCTGTTTTAAAAAGTTTTAAGAGATGCAGCCTGTCAGTGTTTGATATTCTGAAACAGTGCAGAGCCACGCAGGAAGAGAAAATAGGGTTTTTTTAACTATTGTTGCAAAGTGTTAGTTCAAGCCACAGTGCTATTGATTTGGATATTTTGAAAAGAGCAGCTTTGTTAATTTTTATTATTTGTCATACATTGTGGCAGACAAAAAAAATTATATAAATGTAATCCTTCAAGCTAGAAGCAAATTCTTATCACAAAATCACCATTTGACTGAGTTGCAAAAACTTGCATTTAAAATTGTAAAATACTAACAGTTAGTTTGGAATAGGAGTCATTACTGTCTACTAGAACTCAATACCATTTAAATGAAATGCTTAAATTCATAATTAGTTTATTGACTAGAATATCTCCTATGGGGAACATAAAAACTCCTCAAATTTGATTTGAATTGACAGGCTAAAATAATTGTCCATGGTTTTCAAGGTTTTAGGAAAGATTAGGAGGAAAGTCTCCCAAAAAATAAAAAAATCTCTACGGTACCTTTGTGTCTCTGATCCAACTCAAAAGTATTTTCAAAATAATAACTTACACTTACTCCTAATTCACAACCTGAGATGCAAATTCTGTATGCAAATTCAAACAGGTAATAAAGGATTCTTACTAATTCTTACTAATTTTCCTCAGGGACTGCTCTGCTGTATCATGTGCTTGCTTCAAAACACAGCTCAGACATTGTGCACTTCTCTGTATTTTTTGTCCAGTCCTTGCTCACAGTTTGCCTCTGTGTGGAAGCTGCAGGATAACCAGGGTGGTTCTCCAGGACTCAGAAAATTTAAAGCAGAATTCTAATGTGCTTTCATGGCAGAATGGCTGTGGGGAAAGATGGGAAGGCAGCCATGAAGCCACTTTCCTATGACTCGCAATACCTCTTGCTACCCTGAATTTTTTAGCTTTTTTATGACGCTACTTATATTTTTTCTGATGCTGTTTCTGGAATTTCCTTATATATCTTGGTCTTAGCCCTGCATCTTATCCATATTGACTGGCTTTTCTTTCTTTTTCTTTTCTCCTTTCTCTTTTTCACTTCCTTGCCTCATACAGGAGAGCTGAAGATGTGCTTAGAGAGATCCAGGCAGAGCCGAGAGATGAGAATAATAATCTTCCTGGTTGGGGAGTAAAGTAATATGAAACAAATGATCAGGAGGCACTTTTCTGAGAATCAGCATAAATGTCTACTGTGTGCACTTAACACCTACTACCTTTAACAGTAATTCTGCTCATGCACTTCTGAGGGTAGACTACGAAACCAAATTAATTGATTGAGATCTCCTGGCTAATTCGAAATATTAATTTGTTCATTCTGACAGGATCTGTAGAGTGAACATCTTATGAACACTTTAGCACATCCAGAGATTACATACAAACTGGGGAGGACACCTGTATGGGTGCTTCCCCCATCTGGTGGTTGGTGAGCTGGAATCTCCTCTGGAGCAAACCAGCAAGTTCTCTTGAAATCTCAGTAAGATAAGACGTTGTTCTATGTCCTCCTGACACTTTGAATAGCTTCAGACATACCTAAACCTAGAGAAGCAGATTCTCTTTTGCTCTAGAATATTTCCATGTTAGCAAAAGAAAGAGAGAGAAAAGTAAAAAAAAAAAAGAAAATTAAAAAAAAATAAAGAAAAAACACCAAAGAATTGAGAGATTTGTAGAATTACTGATAGGATATTGGGAAACACCTCCACTGAATCTGTTGAGTGGTACCTTGACATGGACAAAGTGGTTGTTTTTAGTGTAATCTACTGGCTTTTGATCAGGCACTTGTGTTGAAGGGTGCCTAGCTGGAAGCTAAATAGTTGGCAAGGTTTGTTTGTCTCATTTTCTTTTTTTTCTATTTTTCCCTTTTCTTTGCTGTCTTCTTGATGATGGTTTAGTACATACTAGTTGTGCTTAAAATTTTAAGAAAGACAAGTCTGTGCACACACATTAAAAAAAAAAAAAAAAAAAAAGAAGGAAAATAAATAAATAAAGCATCCAGGAATCAATTAATCTGAGTCCCATTCACACATGCCACATGTATCTGCAATAAAAGCCAGGAAAGCACTGTGATTCTGAGGCACATGAAGACAGATGTGAGGTTCAATTCCCAGCAGGGTTGACTCAGCCTTTCATCCTTCCAAGCCAGACAAATTGTATTCTGTGCATTTTTCTGTGTGGGGTCTATAGGAAGAGACCTTGAAAAAACAAGTTTCTTCCTGCTCAGCTTGCATATTATAGATATTTCATAAATCTCTGTCCCCAGCCAACAACTCCTTTGCAGGCTGGGGTGTGCCAGACACTGAAAGATTATGGTCCTAGAAGCCTGGCTTCCTGTTGGCATCACAGAGACCTTCAATCAATAGGAAGGAATGAACAAAGAGACTGTAGCAGCTTATTGCACCAGAGAAGGAATGACAATCTGCACCAGAGATCAGTGAGAGGGAAGCAGGGATACACTCTGGGAGAAATGGCTGCATCTGCAACAAGATTACCCTTACTGAGAGAACAAAGGGAGCAAAAATAGATTTGATCTGCAACAGAGGAAATAGTGGGTTTATCTGTATCTTTGCTTCACAATAAAGCCCTATTTCATGGTAAGCCCTATTTATTGTAAAATAATGAAGCCCTGATTTGAGTTAATAAAACCTCTTTCTGATGCCAACTAATAAAGAGTCACATTTGGAATGAATGTTTGATAGATAACAGACTTAGTTACAGACCAAATCTCAAACACCTCACTATTTATACTATACAGAGGTTAAATGACCGAATTATTAGCTCAAGACATTGGTTTATGCCAGAGTTTCTAAGGCACAGATGAAATTTTAGTCCTGGCTCATGGACACAGTGACACCCACATTTCAATTTTGTAGCTGACTTCACAAGTTTCACATTAGCATTCTTCTTCCACTGAATTTTCTCTTACTGCAAATGAGGAGCAACTGCTGGCACCATGAGCAAATTTTCCTCTCTGTTAATAATGAGAGATTGGCTTCTGTCAGACAGCACAAACTTCACTTTGTTGGGAAGAGGTGCCAGGCAGATCAGTACTTTTCTGGTTTATTGCCTTCCATGCTGCACAGTACCTCAGCAGCTCCTCAGAAATAGCAAACAAGACTAACGCTTCAGAAATATAGGGGGTCACTCATTAAGAAAAAAGATAAAGTGGTAAGAACTACACCAAACCTAAACCAAGCAAACAAGAACTATCTAATTCATTAATAAACCCTAACATTTTCATTGTGACTACCAACTGCATAGATGTCTTTTTTGGATTTTCCTTTATGAATATATGATGATTCACCAATTATTAACACAAAGACTATACCTAATCACTACAGTGCCCACTGTAAGGAGATGAAAGTTTTTGTCGTGGGCATCTTCTTAGATTATCAGTCCCATCAAAGGCACTGAGAGTGCTTACATGAGTAAGTGCCCAGTAGGGTGAGTAATTGCTCTATGCTATTGCCTGTTGTCAATAAGAAACACGGAATAAAGAAAAATCCATTGTAATTCTACAGTCAGAAACAAACAATGAGGAAAATCTTTATTTCTTTAAGATAACCTTTTCTACACGTATATTCTGGCTTAAGAGACACAGTTTCTGGCTTAGCTCTTACAATTTCTTCTTCAGATGCTTCAAGAACCTGTTATTTTATAAATATCAAGCACACCCACTTAGTAGCTTTGGTATTAACTACTTGGAAAAACAAGCACACAACAACACTGAAGAGAGCCCCAAAGCAGTGTTTGTCACTGGAAAATGAATGTAATCCACACATAATCGATGTTGAAGCATCATCATTAGGTGGATCTGGTTTAGATGAAAAAAAAGAAGCACAAGGTTTATCCAGTGACATTTTAAATCTTTATTCTAGCTATGAACTGTAGAACCATTCTAGTAGTTGTTAAAGACACAAAATAGAGTTCAGGGGTATGGAAAATTTTCTTTGATGTTCACAGCTGTCTCTGAAATCTCTGCTTGGTGGGGTCTAACAAAGTCTGGGGCTACGGAGAGCACTGTAAGTGTTGGAATGAATTCCGTAATATTCATTAACAATAATATTCTTTGGCTCCTAGAAATTGCCTTCTGGTCTGCACCTATGTCATGTGTGAGAACACTCCTCTGCACATAGCACATTGAATGAGAGCAGATACTGTTTTCCAGACCATAATAATCCTGAATTTATTTGCAGCACTAATGAAATATTAGAAATAAAGCAGCTCATTAATGCACCAGTGTACTTCAGTTATGATCAGATTCTTTCTCATTACTAAAGTGAAAACATAGTTTCTTACCCACCAGGGGACATGGGCCATTTTTAGGGTGGAAATGTTGCTGTTTGGTTTTGGGACACTGACCCCCCGCCAGGAACAAAGCTCTCAGTGTCTCTACACATAAGCCAAAAACCATCAGATAATAACTGCAGCATCATCTTTATTGAAGTAGTGCAGAACCGTTTTGCCTCTCCCCAAAGCAACTCACCTGTTCAGCTTTCTGGTGAAAGACAGCAGACATGGCTAAGATGGTGCTGCGCTCATCCAGAGCTGCAGCAAAACTCTTCCACTCTTGATCCAGCTGGCTGGATATTTGTTTGATCTGCTGGGAAGCATAGTGGCCTGCCTCGGAGAGCCTTGACGCCACAGACATGATTCGATTGATGTTGACGTAGGCATTCTGAAAATTAAAAAGTGCATATAAATAAAGAGAAGGAAGAACTGTAACCACCCTCTGCCTTCATCACACATTCCAAACACCATCAGTTGGAGTAAAACCAAGCAGTTCAGTGACAGCAATCAACCACCTGCTTAAATATGCATGAATAGCAGGCATACTACCTTCCACTCTAAAAGCACATGCCTCTGGATTCTTTCTGTTCATCTGTGCCATTATCTACCACTGTTATCTCCCCCTCTCTCCTTGAATTTATGTAAAACTAATTTGCCATACTTCAGCTATTCACTCACCTGTTAGGGTGTTCTCATTGCTTCTATATTATCCCTGATATTTTTGTTGCATTAATTCATCTCTCTGGATGCTATATCCACATACTCATAAGTAAAAGGTTTGCTTTATGCGCTTTGAGAACTGTCTGATAATCCTTTATAGACATGTAGTGTCAACAAATGGAAAAGACTTACAGAATGTAAAAGAGCTCATAAGGATATTCTATAGAAATATAAGTGTTTCCATAGAAATGTCTATTACAGTATGGCCTTCAGTTAAAATGTTATCTTTTCTGCAGGCTATTTTAAGCTGTTTTCTATTCTGCATTCAGAAGGATTCAAAAGCCTCTAAAAGAGTAATATTTTCTGTTCTTTCATAAGAATTTTCCATTATTCTTTTTATTCAGCCTTGAAGAAGTGGAAGAACAGTGTTTCTCAAACCAAACTGAAGACAGCAATGTAATTGCATTACAATACCCCCATTCTGCATAGGAACGTAAGCTGAAAATAAATAGCCATCATGACAGTGTCCTACAATGATGCACCATCAAAAGACAAATGACAGCTGTCCTGCAGATTCCTGGAAAGTCATTTATGTAAGCAATTTTCCTTTCACTTTCCTCCTCACCAGAGGAAAGGAACATCTCAAAAATTGAGATGTTTTGCTAATGATGACTTACTGCTGCTTTTTGTCTGTCTAAACTATTTCCAAAGGGCTTCAGAAATTTCTGGGTAGAATCTGTAAGACCCTCAGGCACAAGGACAGACACAGCCCTGATGATTTTAGCAGCATTACTCATGGGCAAATAATAAATCAGAGATGGAAGTGTTTGTTGGAGCAGGATCTCATCAGAGTGAGTGGGAGCAAAACGTGGAAAGGTATCTGCCAATGCAAACATGAAATGCAACAGAGCACTGCCAAGGTAGGCACAGGTCCAAACTAAGTTGTAAAGCAGGGCAAAGTATGTCTGCAAAGTGTGTGGGATAACTATGAAGCACATTCATCATAACTGTAGATGCTAAAGGGGAAAAAGATTGGACACCAGCCCTTTGAGCCACTCAGTCCTCCCTGGTAGAACCATGACTGTGACAACTGTCACATAAATAACATAGATCTAAAGCAATACCCAGCCTTCAGTCTTGCTTTTTCCCCTTACAAAGCCTTTTCTTAAAAATTGGATTTGACTCAAAATTGTTAGATTAATTTTTAAGAAATATCTATCTTTTTTTCACTACAACTAGAGAAACCAATCAAAATTCTTCCAGAGCTTAAAGTACACTAAAAAAAGACACTGTGATTTGAAATTTTGACCACCAGTCCAACATTTCTTCGTGTCCCTCTAGGTTCGAAACTGGAAATCAAACTAAATGTTCAAGCCTTTTTCCTAGAAATCCTTCATGAGTAAACCTCAGCCAAGAGAATTTTGCAACACTTCAAGTCAATCCTTTTGGTGGAAAGTAGCACAGCATCACTACAGGTGCTAAAACTTAGATGAGTTGTGCCAAAGTCATGGAACGTTGCTGCGTTTGAAGACAAAGTTCCCAAAGAATTTTAGATTTCATGTAGAAAATGGCTGTTTTCATCCTGATTTTGTTTGTTTACTTTTTCCCATGCTGAATTATCTCTGCCACTGTGATGCAATGGGCATGGAGGAAATAACTGTGAATTCTGTGGCTCCCAGTGGCTCCCGTGCTCAGACGTGTTAACCAGCAGGAGGGTAAGGATAAGTTCAGCTGAACTGCAGCAGATGTTCTGGGAGTCTGGTTTTTAAGTCAGAGAGATTTATATATTGTTATGTCTGTTGTATTTTTATACAGGGATAAGGATGAAAATTTCACTTTCCTATATAAGAATTTTTCATGGAAGGGTACCAACCCATTAACTCCATAGCTTTTTCAGCAGGAAGGAAGGAGCAGTTTGGGAATCACCAGCTCACACCTCTATTCTTTATGCACCAAATGGAAAAGGCTCAGAAAGCAGAGACTCCTGAGCTTCTCCTGCTCATTTTAGAGCAACAGATGCACTCAAGTTTAGTATCACCTGTGATGTGCTCTTCTGTATTTCTGTTGCAGATTGAAGCAAAATGCAGTACAGCTTCAAGGCAATCCATAATGTACTTTCAAGAAAAAACCCAACATTTAACTGACCACAATCCACAAAATGCAAGACATTTCTTTTCCACCTTGAGGAAGAACAAACATTGTAAGCTAGGTTTTTTCTTTCATCTTTTTCTGCCAATGTGTAATGTTCTGAAGTAAAATGGAAAATCTATGCCAATGAAATTCATATGTTGACATTTCACAAAGTTAAATTTTCCTTTTCTTCTGTTTTGGTCACTTCTATAAACTGAGTGAATTGAGGGTTTTTTTCTATGTCACTATTATATAGCTCTTTCAGTCTTAATAGGAAATAAATTCAATAGAGAAACTAATGTCTGTGACTTTGTTTTTCCTTTAGGCTTGGAAACTTCACAACAGCAAGTGCATGGAAAGTCTCACTTTAAATTTAACCTAACCTCATCTTTCTTTCAAAACCGAGAGGGGTCCCCAAAGAGGACTGCAAGGGATCACTCATTTATAGCTATATAAGAGCACAATAGGTAAAAAAATAAGGATACAATATATTAATGCCTAGAAGCAAAAGCACTTCCATTGATATTCTGTAGTCATGACACTAGGATACATTGAAATTTTTGCTAATATATAAAGGTATTCTGGCATTGAAAAAACTTTATTTCAAATGTACTTGCACACTTTCCAAAGGCACTCCTCATGTTAGAGTTAATTTTTTATTGGCTTTATTTCAACTTTGAAACTTTAGTCAAAAAAAAGGGGATTTCTGTCTTCTAAAAATCACTGGGCTGCAAAACAACAAAAATTTCCCTGCATGTACATCGATATGATGATAGGTAAGAGTTTCTTTTACAGTTTACAAAAGCCTTGAGTGATGCCTTGCAAGCTGCCATTCCCCTCCTTACACTGCAAGCTCTCGGATAAGAGCCCTGTGTCAGCAATAAGCACTGACAGCAGTGGAGTTGCAATTGTGGAATGATCTCCCTCAGGAAATACAGTAATTCATCCCTGATCACCTCGCAGGCATGCTGGGAGACCTCCCCTCTTAATTAAACCCTCCAAGCCTGGCTGGGACAATACTTTCTTGTGACACACTTCTAAAAAAACGCCTGACACTCACAAAAGAAAAATGAGCAGTGGAAAGCATTAAATCTGCAAGGAACTTGGCTGTGTTCATCTCATTTCCTAGAGGACTAGGTGAGATACTGTGATGGCAAGCAGCAAAGGTGGGTTCTGCAGATTAATTAAAAGTGAAATTTGATTGCTGAAGGGTCTTTCTTTAAAATAAAGTAAAAGAATAACCAAGTTGCACTGTACTACTGTGACTTTAGAAACCATATGTGAAATGAGCCTAAAACATAAATCCAAAGCAGAATGTTTCAATGACAAAAAAAACCCTCATGAGATATCTTTAAGACCTTTAAGTTTCTATAACAAGACAAATTACATGTAGCTTGTGTAATACTGGATGCCATTTTAGCTCAGCCTACATACAGAAAAATACCATTCATAGAAAACATATATTGGGAATTTTCAACAGACATTATTAGCCTTTACATGAGAAAGTGTTAGACTAACATGTTGGAAATATATTGTGATTTAGGACGACATGGATCTCTGTGTGGTGTCAGGTAATTCCCTGACAGCAGGACAGGCAGCGGTATCAGCACTGAACACTCCCATTTTTGTGGGAAGAAAGCAGGAACTTATAATTTAAGGAAATTATCAGATCCAGGCATAGAAGTCCAGGCAAGGGAGATACAAATAACTTTAGTCAGAACAAAAGGCATGTACACCAGGTATCCAAGTGCAGAGCTACCACCAGTATGCTTTGTGCCATACCGGAACACTGAGGTTTTGTTTTCTAGTGAATTTATTAGGTTATTGATATTTCTTGAAAAAGGTCCGAGTTAAATATTCATCTTTGTGAAAAGTATTATTGCTTCAGTATAAACATTATACAGCTGTGATAAAGAGTAACAATTTATTTTGAAACTGAAGTGAAAACAAGCACTGTCTTGAATCACAGGAAAAGAAATAATCTATGCTCCTTATTGGAAAGAAAAATACCACACTACAGTTTATTACCTCACATATATGATTTCCCCACATCCCACATTGATCACTTAGAAAGAAAAATTATTGTAATAAACAGAGTAGCAAATTGTTTTTCCAAAAAGGAGCTTTGGTCACAGCATGCCTATAGGGATGCATAGGAAGATCATGCAACAAAAGGCATGACCCAGTACACATTATCTGCATTTTCTAGAGGAACTGAAGACTGTATTTTAATTATCATTTGTTATGCCAGGCTTAAAGGACCCAAGGCACAGTGAAAAGAAAAAAAAGCTAAAAAACAAACAGAATCAAAACAAAATACCTTAGACATCCAAGATCTGATCCAACTGATGTTTGTAGGCTTTTTCCCTCTTAACACAGAGCCAACTTTAGATACTTTGTCCTCCTCCAAGTTTTTACTAGATACTGATTTTAATGTATTAACAAAACAAAACAAAATTCAAGATCATATAAAAGCCCAAGCCCTGCAACCAAAAAAAGTGCCTCAAGATTTCATTATTTTATTATTCATACTTCTGAGTAATAAACAGCTGAGCTATTCTCAATCCAACAGTTGCTGATGTATTGCATGTAAAAAAGATCCGGCTAAATTATTAATCAAATTTCTAGAAAAATCATTAATTTTCTATTAACAGCAATGATCTCTTTCCAAGCCTAACTCCCAGTTATTTTAAGAAAATAATAGTAGACAATATTATTTTATATTACCATATTTTGTGGTATTATTACCACAAAAAGGGATAAAGGGAGATCCTCCAGCTTGTCTCTTCTAATGGTATTTCTGAAGAATTATGAGAAAATTTGCATATTTCATAAGTCAAATGAATTTTAATGCACTAACCTCCGGGACACATTTACTTGTTGAGACTCTGAGAGCACCAGTGTTATATGGAAGCAGTGTTACCCTGGATTTTGCTAGATGGCACTGTGATGGCAAGTTTATCAAGTGCCTAAAGCCCGGTTTTCAGTGCTCTGTTCAGATATAATCACAATAAACACATTAATTGGCATAATAAACATTTCTCATCTCCCACTGTTATGCAATGCCCTAGTGAGGCACAGTGCTTTAACTGGGGAATAGGTAGCTAGGTGGAAGTGGCCTGTGGAATTCAGGTCAGAGAAGTTAATTACCTGACCTGGAATTTGGCCAGAATCCCAGGGTTAATGCCTGTAACCTTATGAAAGCAGTGTGGGGTCTGTAACTTCCTCGGGTAGTCGGGGTCTCCTGTTCCCATTTCAGACAGCTGCCCTGCAGTGTCTCGCTCTGGACAGCAGAGCAGGTGTGGCTCTCCAGTGACTTACAGCATCAACTTCAACCACCTGTGAGGTGTCAGCCCCCATGCAGCTGCAGCCTGACCCTGCACAGCAGGAGGAGGTTCACCTGCTGGAGTAGTTTACTCAGGGCAAGCTTTGCTCTAGTTGACTGAGAGTGTTCAGAGAGGGCTCATCTCTGCACAGTGCAGTTGCAGCAGGGGGTATACATGCATTCTGCCATCCATCCCACTGCAATGATCAAAATATCAATACATCCTGTCCTCATTTCTGTGCTGAAAGCTGGGCACCTTCCAGGACAAATACCTTATGTCTGGAAAGAATAAGAAAATGAGTAAAGCACTTATAAAGGTATAATGATGATTTTTCTGTTTTGAAAAAGAAAGATAAATTGAGCTGCATTCAAAAGTTCTGGCCAATTAACAACTGAAAAAGGCAAAATCCCACTGTGGCCACAACTCACAGCTTGATTACTGTCTCCTTTCAAGGTTTTGAAAAGTACCTTAGCAGGGTGTGGAGGGAGAAGTATAAATTATTAAAGTGTATCCTACAGCTCTCATTAATTCCCAGTCAAAGAAATGTTGAAAACTTAAAAAATATTGTATCTGCTCTCCGAAATGTTAACAAACTCCGCAGGACTGTGCTGCTCTTAAGTCAAGGAAGTTACCATACATCAGTGGCCAGCCAGCCTGACCCTCCTTACACCACCTCTCACGGGTCCCCTGTGCCCTGTGCACTGGGGGTGGCCTCCTGTGCTGGCCCTCTCCTCCCTCCTGTGCTGCTCAACTCACCATGGAATTCATGGCAAAGTGGTTGTGCTGTGTCTGCAGGTCCAGGGCGTGCTGGTAGCTCACACCGATCTCTGTGTGACTCTGCAGGAACAACTCTTTGTTGTGGCTGATCCAGTCAAACATCTAGAAGGGTTCATGCAAGGAGAGGGAAAAAAAACAGAGTTAGACAAGGAGGGAAACAGTAAGAGACAGTACAAAATATAAAAATCCTCTTCTGAGATATATGAGTATGCAACACAGCCAAAATCATCTCAGCTATGATCCTCATTAAAATAAACTGTTGTTGAGCAATGGAAGCATTGAAGCTATCACCAAACTTCACTACTAACAGAATGACAGGTCAGGAAAAAAAATTATTAAACTTGTTCCTCAGCAAGCTTGATCCCACAGTCTTTTCCTATAAGTAATAGGAATTTCATATATAGAAAGATGTCAGCAGAGGGAACTATAATCAGGGGTTGCTTCATTGACCAAAGATCTAGCAGTTCATAAAGCATTTTTAATTCACAAATGGACCAAAAAGACCATAAATATTACCCATGTGATTTTCTCAAACCCCTTTCTTTTTTGTCTATATACAAAGTTTCCAAATATTACATTCAAATAGCCAGTTGACTTCCTACACTTTTATTTCCTAGATCTTCCTAAATTCAAAGCCAGAACCGAGCCTATCTCCCACTTATTATTTTTGGGAATGAAGAGAAAAAAAAAAAATGTATTTTATTAATATCTATAGAGAGCACACATTTCAACTTCTTCCACTTCTAAATGTATTCCCAAGGAAAATGGATCATTCAGTACTTCAGACACAGATAGAAATATATTGAATAAAGCTGATGAAACTTATTTCTTATTCAAAAGCACGTCAGTGTGACATTTCAATCGGCAGCACATTCATTCATTATAAGCTGTCACAAGTCAGCTAAGAGATAGTGCATTTATGTTTAAGCTTGTTCTGTGTTGTGTTAGAGACTAAATGCATTCAAAGTGAGAACCTTTCATTCTTTACTCCCGACTACAGCTCTGCAGGCAACTGCAATCTCAAATCTCTTCTTTTCTGCAAACACTTTTTTTTTCAGGATCCCTTTAAAACCATGTTCCCATATCTCCATCCCAGTAAGCTGGGGAACTGTCCATTAATAAGGACTCTTTAATAATAATAATGATGATAATAATAACAACAAAACTCCCTTTACTCATCAAATCACTATAAAAGAGAAAAACTAATTATAGAGGCTGCAGAGGTCAGGTCAGTTCAGTCCCTGGTGTTAGAGAAAGTGTTTTAAGATAAAAAGGCAGTGATGCACCTTCTAAGTGACCACCTTAGGGTCAAAATACCAGTCCAGATCTTTGTTATAACATTTACAAGTCCTCCAGTAAAAAGCTGGTTTGTTCTTTAGCACTGCATAGCAATTTCTGACCTGTGGCAGATGAAGAACACTCAGAGCCCCTGCTCTGTTGCTGTAGTTGCTCAGGGTCAGTTCCCCACTCCCTGTGGAGACGATGCTCCTCAGAGGAGAGAAAAGGCCCTGCATGGGTCACCTAAGATTCCCGCAGGAAAAACAACATTTCATGCTGAGCACTCAATCCAGCAAGGGACTGCTCTGCCGTACGGAGGGGATTTGAAAAAATAACACTGAATATCCCTTTCAACAAAAGGCAAATAAACATTCCAAGTGTCACCAGACACACTGCACTGACCTGGGTCCAAAAAACTGTCACATATGCCTGATTTCTTATTCTTTTATTTATGAAAATACACTTGCAGCTCTAGTGTCTACATCAGCCTTGCATTTTCTGTTGTATTTTCTGATAGTCCTAAAAGCCAAAAGCCTTTGGTTCAAGTTACAAAGGTACAAGTCTAAAGTAGTATCAATGACACAAATACTTTTCTACCAATGGAGCTGATCAGGCCTATCACCATTTTTTCAGGAAATATAAGTAAAAACATTTTTGCAAGGGTGAGGTCAGAGTTTTCAAACATTACTGACAATTAAACAGAATTAAATTACCTACTACACCTGAAGAGACATTTAAAGCTTTCTCACTGGATTCCATTTTCTCACTTTATGAAGATTTAATAAGCAACATTAGCACAACATAATTTGCTACGCTTGTGGGCTTAAAGGAAAAAAAAAAAAGGACAGGAGAAATATAAAGGTAATAAAGAAAGGAAAATTCCATAACAACAAAGTTCATGTCCTAACAACAAGATTTTATGTTTCTGCGGAAAGACCAACAGAGATTTCTTGTAAGTACATATATGTTTGATGAGAACAATTTTTTTAATGTTTTAAACAATCTAAAGACAGTCAGGGAGAAGAAAATTGGCAGAAATCCACTAAAAATAAACAGTAAATTTAATATTTTCTGCTCAGCAAAGTTGAATCAGGATATTTTTAAGACAAATAATTTAAACAAGTAATCTATTGTTCTGTGGATAGGGAGCATTTCCTTTATCTAATCTATACTCATATTGCCGGATGAGAATCTAGCTTAAGTAAAACCATACTTCTCCCTTTTAATGTAAAATAATAAACTATTAAGAAAAAAAGAAAGTTTAAGAGATGATTTGCCTTTTTTTGTCTTGTTAAATCAACTGAAATATACAACAGTTTAAAGGATGTCCTTCAAGAATTTTGAGTAACACTGAGCAATAGACCTCAATGATGAGAAATGTAAGTATTACACAGTACCACAGCTCACAAAATTTCCTTGACAGTAACGGAATTTAAATAAAGAAATACCTAAAAATGGGGTCTTATTTGCTTTTGTGATAAAATGGATTGTGTTTTCAAGCATTTTTCTTTGACCAAAAACTCTAAAATGGTCTTAAACAATTTTCTCATAATAATATAACCCCAAGTTGAGACTCTGAAAACACCAAATGAAACGTGAGTTATGATGGTGCCGTGAGTTTGCAATGCTTGGCCAGGAGGTTTCGATATGAAGGTCTGTCAACATTGTCTGGCCCGTCCCATATTAGCAGCAATATTTCCTGAAAGCTTTCAAGTGAAACTTGTTTTCCACATGAGAAACTCTGATGTTTCCTGTGTTCCTGAAGCAAGTGTGCTGCCTTGTTTGTGTAATTAAAATGCACCATTACGGATGTGAACGTGGCAATGACCCAACAACTGCTTTCTCTCAACCCTGCGAGGACTGCCCAATTTTCAAGGGGCTGATGTGGGCTCCTGGAAAAATGTTTGAGATCCTTTACAAGTAAGTTCCCCCTGTCAAAGAAATGAGTTTTTAGTACAATAAATATCAAAGAGTGGAAAATGTGCCCCATGAGATCAGTTTAAGCCAGATAGAGTGCCTCAGCAAACAGATTTTCTGTGTCGCTCTAACATTGCTATACAGCATTGTATCAATTGATCTCATCCCACCCATGAAAACAACTCTTAACAAACTTTGTCTAGTGATTATCACAAAATTAATGGATCTTTAATTATTCCTGTGACTTACTTCTTAGTTGGAGTCATGCTGACTGCCCATGAAATAATTTTGCTCTCAAGCCTTCTAATCACTCCTGCAGTCATGAATTCACACTAAACAGCAGCACAGAATAACTAAGATTGGACATTACATCACTGAAAACATGTGAACCAGCTGTCCTCAATGTCTCCCAGACTGGCACTTCTCCACATTGCTGTAGATAATCTGGAGACCAGTTAAGTAATTAGGAGTTTTCCAGTGACTGAGAAGCAGGGGGAGGGGTTAAGCACATTTAAAAAAGATAAACTTTCAGTGTGATTATCTTTTGTAGTCCCATTTCTAACAATACATAAAGAAAATGGAATGCATATACTGAAGAATGTTAAGTGCTACATCTAATTAAGGAAATTAGTCTTTTATGAGAGTCAGAAGAAATAAGCATGATCCAAAGGGTCTCTTCCCCATGCATTGTAAAGGATCTAGCCTCACTGTCACTAGTGATCATATATGCACCAGTAATTACTACAGATGTGGTCTTGAGGTAACTTCACTTGAGATTAGGGTATCAGATCACATCTCCAGCATCAGCCCTGCTGGCAACAATGAGTTCTTAACCTCATGTTTTGTCATGATAGTTGATGAGTTACTAGAAAATCCAGGTTAAGTGTTAGACCAAACAGCAGGTCTCAAGCTGGTCATGAGTAAGTCCTGCAGAGGCAGAATGTGACTCCGTATTTCCCCTGGATTTGTAACATCTGGCAGGCCAGTGAGTACAGGGTGAGAACAGCTGTTTGAGAACAGACAAGAAACACACAGATATGGAACAGCATGTATGCAGGCTGTGCACAGTCCAGCTCCACATCAGCTAAAATGAGATTTATAACATAATTTCAGATAAAAACCTCTGCTCTCTGGCTTTTGTCAGTGCCTGCTGAGGAGCATTAGCACTGGATTCTGACACACAGTGGTGCAGAACAGCACAGGTTGATGTGCCCAGCACATGGCTGGCAGCACACCCTATGCCAGCAGTATTGATGGGAGGATTACAGCCCTCATGGCCTTGGCAGCCAGTGAACTGAATATATTTATTAATGAAATTGTTTATACTTGCTGGAAATAACAAATCCCAAATCTATTGAACACCATACTAGTGCTGGAATTAATTATGAACTGGCATGTAGCAAATCATCTCTCTAAGTTATCAGCCATAGATATCAAACTTATATGGTTAATTAAGGGCAGAATGATAACCATTATAGCCATGTAATCTTGAGGAACAGTATGGGATACATATAAAGAAAACAGTTCCAAAGGGATATTCAGATCAAGTCCAATCACTGCATTTGGCAGCCAACCACAAGATAAAATTTCCTTTCATAAAGAGATGAAGCTCCACCTGAAAACTAGAAAAGGGCTACAGCTCAGCTCCTCCTATGAGAAGGAATTCCAAAAACTTTCTGCTCCTGTTACTGAGCTCTTTACATACTCTGATCTACACAAGGCTCATGTCCAGTTTATACACATTTTCTCTTAGGTCAACACTTCCCAATAAGTTAGAAAAGTTCTTCCAGGTGTTGAACATTTTCCAGTTAAACTGTGGACCAGGCAGGGTCATTGTCTCTTGTGCTGTTTGTCTTACTACAACCCAGCTCTTTTGAAGCTTAAGATACATAGCCTTCCTTTCTCTG